CAGAAATTGTTATCTATATTTATTTACTATTCAGGTTTAGGAAGGTTGCATTAAAAATAGTCCTTCCAATAACCAAACCAACTATACATGTCTTCCAGCAACTGCATTTTTTAAAGGATGTTCATTTAGATGTTTTTCTGGATACACAGATGTATGAAATTACTTTTCAAACTAGTATTTTTAATCCAATTGTTGTTCATGCTCCCAGAAGAGTGGTGTGAACATGTACCTGATGTATTTTAATAGGAACTGTTTAGCACAGATGAAAAAAAGATATTTTTGATGTATTGCTCAGTACTATTCCTGCAACACACAAAGTCTCTGGGGTAAATGAGAGGCACTCCAGAGAAGCTGAAATCCACTTTACATAGCTAAATGTTTAGAAATTGTATCTTCCTATAAAAAGCACACACAGTCATGCATTTCTGATAACCCAAGATGTTTCCTATGTCTCTGTAGAGGAAACTGAATTAAATAGATACTACTGAATTTAACATGAAATCATATGGTATTAGGGCAGCACTACATTTCAGTGGAGAAAATTAGCTACTTTTAAAAAGCTACAGAGAAAATACACAGGAAAGCCTGTAATGAAAGTTGTGCAGAGAAAATGCTTCTATTTTCTTTGGATTATCCTAGTTGGTTTTGTTGTGGGTTTTTTGATTTATTTTTAGCTTAACCTTTTTTAAAAAAAGATTGCAATCATGATTTGTCTTGAAATCTATGAAAATAAAAACTTATGACAAACTAGAATACCCTTCAGATAGAATGAAACTACAAAACCACATAGTTAACTATTTATTTGATTTATAGACAACATATTTTACTTAGAGAATTTTTTTTATAGTTGTAGTGAGGTAACCATATGAAATCTCAGATTATGCTGTGTTATGAACAAATAATGTCAGTGTTGCAGCAATTATAATTGATCTGTTAATTGTTTTCATGTGAAAATTCATTCCCACAAATATCACTTGCCATGGAGAACTAATGTTGATTAAAACCAGAATTATACTTCATTAAAAATAATAATTTATATTTCAGTGACACTGATAAGCATCTATTGTCTTCCCTTGTATTATATAAAAAGTATTTTTCAAATGTTGCAAAAAAAAAAAAAGAAAATATTTTTGTTTCTTTCTGGCAATATATGCTTCCTTACTCTTTTTGGTGAGTGAAAAAATGAAATATATAGTAAGTGTAGATATTTTTTGAATCAGTCTTATCAAAGACTAAGCAGCAATTAAGTCTTTGGGCAAAAAAAGATACACTCAAGACTGCAGTTCTCTTCATAAATAACACATCAAACTGGTGGTTAAAACTTTTCAGGGCATTCTCCTACATTACTTTGGCTCAGTATAAGGAAAACAAGAAGAAAAGGGCAAACAGCAACCAAAAGTTGAATAGTTCATGTTCCTACAAGAATCTGGATCAAGTAGAAGAGCTTTAGACCACCTTTGATTGTCTTGTGTACTATAAAGTGAGAGTTAAAAACTGTTACTATACGTTGTCTGGTCAGCTTAATAACTCTCTACTATGAAATGACTCATTCAATGAGATGAAAACAGTAGAAATAAGTTTTATGGATTTTAATAAAAATTTTGACAGCATCTCCAGTAGCTATTGGAAGATCCTTATAGTCTGTGGCAACTATTTTCAAGGCACCTTGGTTTCAGGTAGGAGTCCCACTCTGGTTCCTTTACTCACCACTCTCACCATACTGCTCATCAGACTCGAGCCATCAGTATGGGCAAAGACGTGCAAGACCATGGCAGGGGGACTAAGCCCAGTTTAGCACTCACCACACAACCAAGGATATTAGCAAGCTGCAGCAAATGCCCAAGAGGCCCTGGTGAGCAGGCAGACAGAGCAAGGATTTTGTGAGGAAATGGTGCACAAGTGACTTTAGTCACTCTGGAGAAGAAAGGCCAATCACTGCATCCTGCTCTGTTCAGCTGTCCTTCAACATCCTCCAGAGGACATAGCCAGGCTCTTCTCACAGCTTCACACTAAAGACACAAGAAGCCAGAAAAGATTCTCAGGTGACATCTGCAACCAGTGGAACACAAAGGAACAGCTGGGGCTCCTGGTGACCTCATGACAAAAGACAGGGAAAAGCCCAAGGGCCACAAAGGTTGCTTTCTCCTCAGCTGTTGCTGGAAAGACCTGCACTTGGAAAGCCCAGGTGCATGCATCTGGTAGCAGAGTGGGAGTGAGCAAAGAAGCCTGAAATCTCTCCTCTCTTGAGAGGAGATTCAACTCAAAGATCAATAAATGCTGTTATAGCAGGGCAATACCCATGTTGGTAAGATTAAAAATTTTGCATCTCTTCGGAGCTATTAACTAGAAGTAAGCCCTGCTAGTATAAATTTGCAAAGACATTACATAGTAAAGCATGACAATTGTAAACATATAATTTGTAAGATTGTAGTGAATGTCATCTACTAAAGCAGCACCTTTTTCCGCTGCCCTGAAAAGGGTAATTCTAAGCTTTTTATGGGTATGATCAAGACAGTTTGCCCATTTTTCATAAATCACATGAGATTATGATCTCATTTGTACCAAGAAGGCAAATCTCTCAAACACAGTACACATGAAATACTGTAGACAGAAGTTTCACTTTAAATGAAAGTTACATTCCAATACCACATTAAACGTACCTAAATCCAGTTCCACAAAGTAGTAAACAATTTAAGTCAGCCACCTTAGATAGCCATAGCAGTCTATTCCAAAAAAATTTCAGCATTTATGAGGACAATCAGCTGAGTATTTGCCCTGTTTCTTGTTTGCATCAAACAGTATTGTTGCCAGAAAAAGAAGCAGTGTCCTGTTATCCCATGTGTGTCAGAGAGACTAGCACAGTTGTCTTGATATGTTAGTCTCTTTTACCACAACACATCTTCAGCAGCACCGATTTATACAAAGCATTTGTGTTGTGCTTTTGAATATTATTCTGCATCTGTTATGGCAGCCATACAAAAAATCAAATAAGTCTTTGATTCAAAACAATTTCTGTTGAAAGATATATAAGCTTTGTCTGTACAAAGACTTACACTGTTAGAAACAAACAGGAGCACAAGAGAATGCTATTTCTATTTTTATGCAAAATCTGTGCCTTCAGCCAGTCATTGTACACAAAGGCCACAAGATGGTAGTCTTGTCTTGAAATATTATATGCTGATTCGTTTTCTACACAAGGTTGTCCCCTTTGTGGCATCAGAGATTTTGAGTTCCTATCCTATTTTTGAAATAACTTCTCATGTACAAGCAAAATTAAGGCAAAGAGGGTCTAAATCTCGGCTCAGTTTTCAGCATGAAAGCGCAATATATTTTTAGGAAAATTAAGGAAGTTCCTATATGAGTAGTAACTTTGGGAAATTCAGAAAATTAGTGCAGCTAAGAAATGACAGTTATATTTTAGTGGAGTAATGCTCTTTACTTATAGAAAATTAATTATTGTAATTTTGGCCTAGGACTTATTGTTTCTTGTGGTAAAAATAACTATTACGGATTATCTGTAATAACAAACTACTTCAGCTTCCATTATACTAAAAATATAATAAGCATCAGCAATTTTAAAAATCTGGGAGATATTTACAACGGCTTGATAGAATCAAGCATTTAATTAGAGGATTCTAATACCAGTTTTCAAGGTCCATGACTAATTCTAGCAGTTACTAGTTCTAACTAGATAAAGCAGCTAATTTCTTCTTCACATGCTTGACCACTAGGTGATACAGTTTTATATAAGGAAAGGTGGAATTTAAAATACATTGTTTAAAATAAGTATACAAAGTGAATTCTTACATCTGTATTTTAAACTAGCCCCCTAAAGGTGCATGTGCTTTGAGGGCGGAAACAGACAAGTAAACATTAATGAGAGTTCGATTTCTGTTCTGGCTCCTAATGCTACAAAGCTGATGTAGCTTTTTGAGCTGGAAGAAAGTTTAGTTTCTTTGCCAAAAGTGGTAGTACACTCCATGGTGAACAGTGATTTTAAGTATATGGAGAAAGAATAAATGGAGTTTTCTTCCAGAAATCCTGTAACACACTAATTCATTGAGATGCAGACAGATGAACCATCTGGTGCACAGCTTTTATTGACAAACTTGTTTCAAAACTAATGGAGACTTCAGCAATCATTCTGTACATACTTTGCCCTCATCTCCTTATATCATATTCTACTTTTGATCTTACTGTTGATGGTCTTGTTTCAAAAAGAACATATTTCAATTTCCTTAAGTCAAAATTTTTCATGTCTTCAGGTTTTGATAATAATCATCACGATGACTATTGGATGACGATTGCCAGATCTTTTTTTTTTAAACAGCGCACTTCAGGCACTTATAAAAGTTTTCAAATGCTTTCAAGTAATGCTGAAAAATGCATGGTTTAGGATTCAGATGAAAATAAGAGATCTGCTGGTGGTCTACAACTAATCTATGACATCAGAAGTGATAGCTGTGTCACAATGAGATGATATGGCTTGAAAGGATTTACAATTCTGTGGTGTCCAAGAGTTAGCATTCTACCACTTTTTTTCTCAGTTCTGCTAGCTGGAAATGACTGAAAGGCTCAGAAAGCTAGCACATCTTTGGGGAATTAGAAGATTTAAGTAGCTAGCTATGTGATACAGCAATGGAAGTTATTCTTATATCAGTTTGGTAAATTTCAAACACATCTTTTGGGTTTCCCGGTAAGTTTATGGTTTGGTTCCCCACCCACCCATCCTAGTAGTTTTTCAGAAAAAGCCTTTTTCAGCAAATAACATATTGCAGAAGTATATTACAAGGAATTCACTTGGCAACCCTCCAAAATTAAGTTGCTGTGAATATTTTGGAATCTGTAAACAAAAGCCAGCAATTATGGAATAACTTTGCACAAAAATAAGGCTATGAATAATTTCTTCAGGAAAAGATATTTTATATGTGAATAATTATATTCTACCTGAGAAATTAGACTTCACATGTCTTTTCTAAAAAAAAAAGCAAATTCCCTAACTAGCAGAAATAGTCTGCAGAACAATAAGCAAAATTGTTCAACACCGCCTGCAGGAACAACTTTTGGGCTGGATACTTACATTTCCACCAGAATTTGAAAAGCATTTGAAGTCCACCTGCTTCTTGTAGTTTAGTTTCCTTGAAAACAAATCAAATTTATTTATACACCCCAAGATTGCACGTATTCATAGGCATCTCCACTAACAGAAATATTTAAAAGCTTCTATGAAAAGATTCAAAATCAGCAAATTAAACCTGAAGAGTAATTATATCTTTTAAAATAAAAAAAAATATTATGAAGAGGATTTTTAGTACATTACTTCATCAAGGATTTCTTGTTTTACACCACAGTATAAATATGATGTACAGATGATTTCACACACATACACACAAAAACTCTCTAAATTTATTTGGATTAGAAATCCTCTAGTTACTCACAGATGACCATTTTAATTAAGAAAAAATAGATTTAAGATTAGAGTGATGAAGATGCATAGTTCTAAGATTATAGTAATTAATGATGTGCATTACAGATTTAGGAAAAAAGTGAAATAACCACCCTAGCTGAATAATTTTTTTTGCACCTTTTTGTCCCTTTAAGTTACTGACCGTTGGCAGAAAAATAGTTCTGAGGAGAAGAATGTTTTCTTTCCTTTTAAACTTCTGTTTAAACAAAGTTTTCTTTTAAAAAACTTCAATAACTTGCTAAAAAAAAAGCTAAAAATCTATTTAGAATTCTGTCATATGCATGTTCAATCTGTTCATTGATTCCTCAGAACAAATGTGAAGCTAATGGTTGTAACTCATTGGTTCAAAATGTGAAGCTGACCCTGTAGTTCTGTTCCCTAAAATAGCCACGTTCTTGCTGCTGACTAGTTCATCCTTCCCTCCTCTGCTGCTCTATCTTTTCTTTTACAATATTAGATGACTTTTGACTTAATGGACAGACTTTTCAGAGTGCTGTCTGGTTATATCTGACTGCCGGAAAAGTGGTCCTAATCTTTCTCCAGGAATAGCTGTACAAATATTAGAAAGCAGAAGAGGCATATCAATACATTAAAAACTGGAGCTGTTTTGTCTGTTTCATAGGTTTGTGAGAGGAGAGCTGAACTGGCCCACTTTATGTTAAGAGTCCAAATATTTTTATATACTAAAGCTATTCATCAAATATTTATGAAAGCAAAATTAAAAGCATATATTCCAAAGCCTGTTCTCCCTTAGCTTCAAGTAGAACAGAGTGACCACCTCTGTTATTGCCAGCTCAGAAAGCTGAGAGTTTGGTTTTAGTTGAGATTCCCACTCTTCAAGTATGCTTTGACAGAACCAGGAAAATCTTTTCTACTCGAACAATTCTCTCCTGCATGAGTCTCTTGGCCCTTGCAGTTTATTCACTCAGGCACTGGATGACACTGCTAACAATGACTATTTTTTAATATGTAAACATTTCAATGCTTTCCGTTTGCTGACCAGCTTTTCACTTTTTCATCAATGATCACAAAATGACATTTTTAGATTCTCTGACAAATAAGGTGTGAGGTCACCTTAGACATATACCATGGGCATCAGGTAAAGACTTCAACATACTTTGCCACAAAATTCTGCACTGCTTACTGTTGGCTGGGTAAGAAATCTGCCCGGATGATGGAGCCCAGAGAGCAGAGTAGCATCCAGTGGGTGGCCAGTCACAAGTGGTGTTCCTCAGGGCTCAGAGCTGGGGCCACGCCTGTTGAGTATCTTTGTCAGTGATTTTGACAAGTGGATAAACTGCACCTTCAGTCATTTTGCAGATGATACCAAGCAGGGCTGGAGTGTTGATCTGCTGGAGTGTAGGAAGCCTCTGGATAGGTTGGATTGATGGGCGAAGGCCATCTGTATGAGGTGCAACAAGGCACAGTGCTGGGTCCTGGTCCTGCACTTGGGTCACAACAACTCCAGGCAGCAATTATACACTTGGGGAAAAATGTCTAGAAAGTGGCCCAGTGGAAAAGGACCTAGAGTTTAAAGCATAAGTCTTATGAGGAGTGGATGAGGGAGTTGGGGTTGTTTCGACTGAAAAAAGAAGGCTGAGGGGAGACATTATTGATGTGTACAACCACCTGAAAGGAGGCTGTAGCCAGCTGGGTATTGTTCCTTCCTTCCAGATGTTCAACAATAAGATAGAGGAAACAGGCTCAAGTTCCATCAGGGGAAGTTTATATTTGATATCAGGAAAAAAAAATTCACTGGAAGGGTTGTCAAGCACTAGAAAAGGCTGCTCAGGGAAGTGGTGGAGTCACCATCACATATTTAAAAGTCATATAGATGTGGCACTTACAGACATTGTTCCGCGGTAGTCTTGGCAGTGCTGGATTAATGGTTGGATTCTTAAAGTTCTTTTCAATGTAAGTGTTTGTGTGAATGTACGATTTTATTCTAATTTTCTTTCACCTTTTCCAAATCCAGTGCTTTCCATCTTTATTTTGTCTTCTAGACTCCAAATTATGCATTTGGTTCTGTTTAGCAAAAAAATGTCAGTTGTATGTCCATTTTCTCTGAATACCAGTCTACAGTCTAAGAATTGTCATGATTAGGGACCATGGCTCATGTATGAATGAATACAAAAAATAATCTTCACTGATACCTGCACCTTTTGCTTTACTAAATTTTTTAATCACACTATAGGGTCTCTTTTTTACTGAGATGTTTCAGAAATTCAGTGGATTTTGGCAACTAAATATGTCTCAGTCATCAAGATATTTCCCTATATGGAATTGAATAAGGTTCAGCCATATTTTCATATCACAATAGATTGGTTATCAGAATTACATTGTTTTATTATAGCATAAATGTCTTCTCTAGTGCAACACTGAATACTGAATAGATATTGCTATCTAACTTCTGTCAAATGATCAACATTTACCTAACAAAACTACTTGCAATTTCTTGTGAAATGACCAACATGTTGAAATTTCCTCAAAACTACAGTGCCAATCATGTGAAGTTATAGCCTTGTTAGCAAACACTGCTGTGATTTTGGTCTCTTCTGGAGAGCAGTCTTCAACTGTGGCATTGCTTACATCACATTGAATTCTGAAAAAAATCAGGAAAAAACCCTCATTATCTCAGATGTACAAGTATGTCAACATAACCCGCAAAAAAAAATTTCCACTTACATTCACCATGGAAAAATTTCTTCAGAACATAAAAGCTTCTAAAATTAATGTCTAAGATCTAATTGCTCTTAACCTAAAGATTTAATGGTGACTATGGATAAAAGACTCAAATAATCTGTCTAACAAGATCTTGGTTTCCATCAGAGAAAAAAACCCCAATTTGCTAACTAAATTTCAAGAGGAAATTATCATAGGAAAGCAAAACCAGTGGGTTTGAGTACTGGTTCGGCAGGTTATGTTACTATTTTGTCTAGTTGTGAACTGCAGTACTGTAGCAACTAAAGAAAATCAGCAAAAGTATTTCTTACACTCTACTCCACCTCAGATTTTTAACCATGTCCCTTTCACAATTTTTTTGTTTAGTTTTACTGTTTAAAATTACAGAAGAAAATATTTGCTATTGATTTATATATTTTGCATTCCTTTGAAAGTCTAGTACAAATTTTATGTAGTTCTTTTTTACAGCTTGAAATCTAATGCTAAAAAGTAATAAAAATATTTACTCAGCTTTACAAAGGTATAATCAATAAACCCATAATCCAAAGTTTATTTCTTTCTCTATCCAACATCTTGGAGAAATTCAAACTTTCATTTCTTTAATTTTTTTTTTTTCCTGAGAAAAGAAAACCCTTTTTTGTTTTCATTTTTTTTAATCTGTTATACAGATGTGGATACTCAATTACTCTTTGCCCATACAGACCAAGTTCACCACAAGAGACTAGTAGGTAGCACCTAGAGGCTGTGCATTTGGGGTTTAAATCAGAACAGATGGGCAGGAAATAAGAGCTGTTAATAAAAAACATAGTTATTCAAGCTTTTATTCATGTTTAACACTTTAAAAATTTTCTTTCCTTATATTATCCTCAGTTAATGCTTTAGTAAAGAGCATTTTTGTTAAGAGGGAATACATTTTGTTACAATGCAGAACTTACCTGCAAACAGATCACAGGGCAAGCCAAACCTTATTCTTCAAGAAGTCTCACCAAGGCATTCTTGAGCCTCTAATTACCTTTCTTACAGCAAGAGGCAGTACTGTGTCCCTTCAAAACCATGTTCAGATAATTTAATTTTTTAATTGGAGCCTTTAATTGATGAACTCATAAAACATTTGCTGACTGAATCTTTCATGGTTTGGAGTTTTTCTCTTCACACATGGTAGAGCAGCTAATTCACACATTTGGCTGTGTTTGTCTCTCTCCTATATATGAGAGCAAACTCTCAAAATGCAGCCTCAACATTTAAGAAATCAACAAAAAGTTTTATAGAAGTAAGCCTGAATTTTTTGCATTGGATTTATTTGGCTTTACAGTCTGTTGCATAGACTTTTAGTGATGATGCCACTGTTTTTTCTTAGCTATTTGTATTGTAAACCACAGCATTTCCTAGCTGTGTGACTAAACCTTAGATAGAATAGGTCTACTCTTACTAACTTTAATGACTTTATAGAATATTGTGTCTTTTACATTTAATCACTTTCTTCCAACTAATTTAAATCACCTTTCCTAACCTTCATTTCTTGTCTTGACAGATTTTGTTTAATTTCTGTAAAATGGGAATGCATGCTCAGAAGAGGATAAACTCACATCATCATTTTTGGTTATTCTTTGGTTGCACTTTTCTAGGAGGAGTTCTTTAGGGCCTCACAACAGGAGTGTTTTCTGCAAGAGAAAAAATTTTCCAGAATTGTGACAAGCTCAACATGGCAAAAGGAATGTTTCTGTTGGGCTTCATAAGTTCTTTCCTTAGCATTTTCTGGTCTTCTTATGGTTGAATAGCTCATATTTTGAAATATATGATCTCATATTACTCCCTGGTGAGAAAATGCCATACTCTGGCAATTTCAAAGAATGATTATACAACTGCAAGGCATCTACACAGAGACATATCTCAGTGAGCTTGCTTTTGTTGCATATCCTAAATAGGGATGGACTAATCTAATGTTAAATCTGTCCTAATTTATCTTTGCAACTGGGAGATGGCTCAGATTACTTCCAGGCCTTCAGATCTTATTTGAAGGCAGAACTTCCTGAAAATGTGATTTCGAATAGCTGGGTAGTCCCTTGACATATGAAGATCAACAGGAGATTTTACTCATCCAATTCATAAGGACTTTTGGCTAGAACCAGTACGTACTTTACTAGTTTAGTTGTTAAAAGCAGTAATTACTTAAATGTAACCACATCAATACCTCTCCTTCCTACAATCCTGGACATTGCTCAGGTACTCTGAGACCTATTATAAACACAGCTAGACTGAATTTCTCAGCTTTTGTGGTTCTTGAGTTTAATACCTTGCCAAAATTGAATGGGTTTTAAACTGACCTCCTCCATATTTTGAATAAAAGATATCCCAATATGATAATTGTAAGTATTACCTATGCTCTTCCCTTAAACCGACAGTAATAGTATTTACTGCTTATCAAACATAATTTCCTTTTGTGACAGGGTAACCCACCCTGCAATAAGGGTCATCAATCAATGGCAATAAGTATTTCAAAAATTTTGTTTGGATTATGAGCCAGGATGGAATGAATGCCCCCATGGAACCCTCTTGAGTGGAGTATGGTATAGTATAACACACTATGTTTAAAAAAAACCCCAAACCAAACCAAATAAAAAAAACGAAGCAACCAAACCACAAGTGAATATGGTCTTGTTAGGTAAAGCAAAGCACCACATCAAAGTGACTTGACCAGAAAAAAAAGCAGACTTTTCTGAAGAAAGATTTTTAGTTTCTCCAGATTGTTCATTGCTTCTGCAAAAGCAATGTGTGTTTTTCAGCTCACATTTCCTGTGTGCCAATAGGCTACTCAGGAATTTCAACATATAATGCTTTGAATATTTGGTTGAAATGGCTATATGTAATTCAGCTGTGTGAAAAAGAGAGTGCATATTGTGTCTCCAGCTCTTTTGCTCAAAACAGGTGGAAACCTTTTTTAAAAGATGGCTATTTGGGAGGATAATTTATTTAATGAAAGACAAAGGTTTGGTTAAAGAATGTGAAAAATTGCATTGAGGTTTGGTCTTTGTATTGAAACAAAAGTAACGAAACCATGAACAGAGTTATAGACATAAATATAAAGAAATGGGTAGATAGATAGATGATAGATAGATAGATAGATAGATAGATAGATAGATAGATAGATGATAAATTTCTCTTAATTCCTAAGAAATAATAATTCAACAAAAACACAACAGATATCATAAGCAATGCTTTAAAAAACTGAGTAGGGAATCCATGAACAAAATCACAGAAAGGTGGCATGGCCTGAAAAGAAGAGAGATGTACCTACTGTCAAATGGGAGAAGGGGGAACTTGTAGACACCCCTTTTCAGACGCTAAACTGTCTTTTGTGTGAAAGGGTGTTCATATTTATATTTTTTTTTGCCAGAAAGAAAGGCCTGGATGTCAACAATGGGGACTGTTTTTAATATTTTAGAGCAAGTGATGCCAATAAGAAAATGACATAAAATGTTAATAGACGTGCAAAGGAAAAAAATTATGGAGATGAACTAAATTCAAAAAACATGGTATGGTATTCACATGAAAAAAAATGATGCAAATGTGTCTCTCAAAGTGTATAAGCCAGCTAAAAAAGTATTGTTTTAAATTTAAAACAGTTATGGTGCTGTTCTTACACATAGTTTACATATTTCTTCATTAAATTGTAACAGTATCCCTGCAAGAAGCATAATTAAACATCCTGCTTTTGTTTTGGTTTGGTTTTTTTCCAATAATCCAGTAAAATTCTAAAGCTTGCAGAACTTAATAGCATGAAATATGCATCACATGGGAAACTCACAGACTGTTTCCTATGTACATTCCATTTGAGTTTCAAGAGTAAAGTAAGACGTATATCAGAGGCATATATTTACATGAGTTTATCTCATTCAAAATTTGAAGCTTGTCTAATTTGTCTCAGATGTCTCACTTTCCTTTATATGTCTCACAGGACAAGATTATGCAACATCATATTCCTATTTCAAAATATTTAAAATTAGACCTGTTGCTTGCATGCGTAGCTTTCACTTTCCCTGTTAATCTTTCTTTTTCTCAAGCCATGAGTTTTTTCTACTTCTCCAGTTCTCTCCTCCATCCCACCCAGAAGAGTGAGCAAGCAGCTCCATGGAGCTTAGTTGCCAGCTGGTGTTAAACCAAGTCAGTCTTAAAAATTACCTGTATAATTCTGTTTTGATCACTTAATTAATATTATTTCACCCTTTAACACACTTATTAAGGCCATCTATATCAAAAAAAGGACTTTTGAGGGTAGAAAATGAACCTGATTTTTTATCAAAGCTCACTGGCTCAGATTTTTTTGAAATTACAGTTTCTCCAAAGCTGTCATTCCATGAGTACAGTGTCATCACATCTCTGTTTCCTGGAATTTTTCTTTATTTATTTTCTTATTTCACTTGCTGAAGTCACTTATCTCTGTTACTAACATGAGGCAAATGTGAAATTATTGAATCTTGAGATATCTGTGAATTAGAACAAGTTGTTTTTCCCAAATCATTATATAAACATTGCAGATGAAAGTTTTAGGGCACAGGTTTATTGAAGGCAGAATAGGAATTCTGCATGAAAGCATCATCTCATCGAGTTTTGTGAGGTTCAAAAAATACAGAACTTTCTGCACAGGAAAATTAAAAAATATATTCTTGTAAGGAGAAATGTGATAGTATAACAGCTGTCATTTCTTCTGTGGGAAAATGGAGTGATTGATTAATAATTTATTATGTGGCCAACTAGAATTTAAAATTTGTTTACACAGTCATCCTCTGGGGTCTTAAAACTACATATTTACATTTATCTGTTTACTTCTTCTTGTTTCAGTGAGACATTTTGGGAACCAGTGAAGCAGTCCCTTTCTCAAACCCTTTCTCTGGTTTGCTGTCTGCCAACACCTCATGCTCTCAACTGTGTTAGGCTCTTGTGACCCTCCTCAAGAAAGCTTTGTAAGCAAACAAATTACAGCGAGCTCTGTGCTTTCATCAGGTATGCAATGTGACAGTTTTGATGATAAAGTCCCAAAAGGGAAAACAGCCTGCAGGTCGTTATGCTATTGTAAAATGACAGAAACAATATAATTAAGTTAAAGAATCTAAAACATTACCCACAGCATTGTGTAGGAAAACTTCACAAGCCTTAGTAGTGTATTATTTGATGACAGTTCTATTAGAGGATTTATAACAGATACACCTTCACATTTGAGGATTGAAAAAATAATTTAAGAACTCAAATATAATAAGTATCAACTTGGTTAAACGACTTTTTAGAGATGTAACTTACATGTTTGAACATATAGGCCTCCCTCTATATTTCTTTTCCCAGTGGAGAAAAAACAACAAAAAATTATTTATGTCTATTATGTCTATAAATTATTTATGTCTATTTTATGAGCAATAGATTATCAAGAATAATATAGCACAACAATGAACAGTTCAAATAAGGTGAATAATTCAAGAATGCTTTAACTACTTTATATTTAATATAGTATACTGTATATTCAATATATGAATATAGAGTCACAGTATTTTTTCAGAGTCACAACACAAATAGTAAATAGATCTGAGGAATTCAATCTCAGCTTTAACAGAAAACATGCAATTCCAAATCAATTTTCCCAGGTCATTGTAATTCCCTAAATATTCAGGCTCACAAAATTTTTTTTGGTGTTGTTTGAAGGAAGACATGACCTTTTACATCAAACAAAAGATTAAAACCCGAAGCCTTCAGATCTCAGGATTAGCCATCAGTGCAATAAGAGTGGGAACACTCTGGATGGAGGAACGATCGATCATCACCCCTGTGGGAGGAGGCTCCTTCCAGCCGGGGCTGCCATTAACTCCGGTAGCAGCAGTGAAAACACAGCTGCTGCAGCAGCCAAGTGCCGTGGCCAACAAACAACACAGCACTGCTGCAAAATATACTCAGTGCTCAGTGTGTGGGACCACTAAGGCTGCACATGAGCAAAAGCACTTGCATACCACTGCTTAAACTAGATGTGCCCTCTGCAGAGTAAGCCTGAGTCAGCTCAGACCTCTGCTTTAGCCATCTTGCAGAAATGGTGATGGTATAAGGCTACTGAAAAAGGCAGTAGTTTAAAAAATAAGTTTCTTTCCAGATAAAAGAAATTTCATTGCAATAAATGTGAAAATATTTAATATATCATTTGCAATCTGATCTTTTACACTTAGTCCAGCCAAACAGGAAATAAGATGTGGCTGGATTCACTCCCTTTTCTTCATCCTAGGAAATGGGTAGTCTCAGATATTGTGTATCTTCAGAGGTGTTATGTGACCCAAGTGGAAAGCAAAGAGCTCCCGAAGAATGCTGAATTTCAAAAATTACTAAACTTCATTGCTGGAGAAATTTAGAATATACATGGACTCAAGAATCCACAGAAATCATATTATTATTAAGATACACATCAAATTCAGACATAGGCAACTATGTATCCAATAGTAATTCACTTTTAGCAAGATGGGCCATGCTGACTGTGCTCTATTTAGGCTCCTGAGTTCATTCTCGTGAGGCCAGCTGCCACTGAACAGCCCAGATACCTAATATTAAACTTACTTATCCTTTGAAACAGGTTCTCATACTAACTTCCAGCTGGCAAACATTCCTGAAAATGATCACTCTAGCTTGCAGA